TGCGGGGCCGCACTCATCGGCGCCTCCGCAGGGCTGTTCCGCGGCCCCGACCGCTGCTGTCGGGAGCACGACCAGTGCTGGGCGCAAATCACGGCGCTGCAGTTCAACTACGGTATCCGGAACTATCGCCTGCACACCGTGTCCCACTGCGATTGCGACGCCAGGTAAGCCCGGGGCCGGGGAGTGAGGAAATGGGGGGCCTGGGGAGCCCGCCCTCTACCGATCCCTGCCCGCAGGTTCCGGCAGTGCCTGCTCGCCATCAACGACACCGTCTCCAACATCATTGGCGTCACATTCTTCAACCTGTTGGAGGTGCCATGCTTTGTGCTGGAAGAGAGTGAGGAGTGCGTCCAGTGGCACTGGTGGGGCGGGTGAGTGCCCAGGGGTGCCCTGGTCGTCAGCGTGCCCTGCTCGACTGCGTCAGGCATAGTTTGGTTGGCGTGCAGGACCTCACAGCATGTGGTGTCCCCAGGTGTGAGCGTTATGATGTAGTGCCTCTTGCCAGGATGGTGCAGCAGAATCAGTACCACCCCAGCCTACCAGCAGAGAAGAGGGGAAGCCCTACTGTGCAGCCCCCAGGCAAAAGAAGGACTTTCTCTAGAAGAGGGCGTAAGTGGCTTCGACAGGAACTGAGGGCAAAGCCTAGGCATCACCAGGTATGGAGACCTAAGACAGCCCAGCTGCTGCAGGGCCCAGGTACCCCAGCGTTGGCCAGGGACAAGGCTGAGCTCACAACCAGGCACCCAGCAGTGCAGTGGGAGTTAGAGCCTGGCCCTGCAAAAGCACTGACAGTGTCAGGACAGGATGTGGTTGGAGCAGAGCAAGGAGCTGGAATCTCAGCATGTCCTTCGTATGGCAGCATTAGACCCAGCCCAGCCACAGCACAGTGTGGAGCCACCCCCATGCCAGCTGTGAAGGAGCGCAGGGAGCAGGGTGAGCTGGTACTGTGGGCAGCATGTGCACACTGCAGACAGAGTGGCCCAAGGCCTCAGGCTTGTGGGGTCATGTGCTAGGGGTGGCCCTTACCTCCCTGTTTTCTTCAGGCACAGGGTGCAGGTGCAACAAACTCCTGGGTAAGTGTGAGCACCAGATTGCACCCCACGAGGCAAAGTACCAGCTGCACAACGTGGACAGCCGGACACTCCTCCACTGCAACTGCACACACAGGTGTGAGTCCAGGAGGAAAAGGGCACTCTGTGCATACAGCTGGGGATCAGAGGAGGTGGGATGTCTGCCTTGGCCAGCATTTGCTGATGTGTGCCCTCCTGTGCCTGCAGGCTGGCACGGTGCCTCCACAGGGCAAGGGACTGCAGTGACATGGACGTGGCTGTTCTGGCTGACCATATCGCCATGGACTGCTTTGTCCTGGAGCTGCCTGCTGCCTGCAGCCCAGGCAGAGTATCACAGCACAGGTAAGTGGGGAGGTCAAGAGGCCAGGGCCTGGGTGGGGCAGGAAACCAGTAGTGTAAGTGATGGCCCCTGCTCTGTTGTGCCACAACCAGGTCGCAGGGCAGGGGGCAGTAGATGTTGGTGCTGCCAGATTACAGTGATGCTCACAGATTTGCTTCTCCAGCAGCTGTACCACAGTGACCAGGGCTGTGCTTGTACCTGCACGGCAGCTCAAAAAGATTCTAAGACGCTGGGGCCTTCTGCGTGTGAGCTCCAAGTCCAAACATCCACACAGGAAGACACAGGCCAGGGGAGGCACCCTCTGTGAGCAGTGCCAGCATCTGTTTGTACAGCAGACACCAGGTGCTTGGCCCCACAGAGTGCTTCGATGAACCCAAGCAGTGCTGCCTTGGGAAGGAAGGGAAGATGTGTGCAGCAGCTGCAGCCTGGAGGCTGCCTGGGGTCTGGTCCTCAAGTCCAAGGGTGGCACTGAACATGGCTCTTGGCATGACAGTATGGAGCTGGGGACCACAGCCAGAGCACAGGCAGAGGGACTGAGAAGCCTCTCAAGGAGCTGTGGCTGCCATCCATGAGTATCAAAAGCAAGGGGAAAGAAATAGAAGGGAATGGGGAAAACCCATTGTCCTTCCCTGGTGTGCCCTGGGACAGGGCGGGTAGCAGGCCACCCCACCCCTACAATGGTGACCCTTCAGCTGGGGACCCTGAGCAGTGAGGTGTGATCCCAACCCTCTTGCCCAGGCAGGGTAGGAGGGCTAGGGTCAGTACCTGCATGCGGCAGAAAAAATAAAGGGTGGTCAGAGCATGGTGTATGGTGCAAGTGTTAAGCCTGCCGTCCACTCTTGATGCTGAGACCCCCACCCTGGGGCTGATCCTGCCTCCTGCAGTGAGCACAGTGCAGCTGGGATGGGCAGGATCATTTATTTTGTCACTTGCACTATGTTCAGGCTGAGGCACAGTGGTAGAGCAGGGAAGGAGCAAGCTTTGATCTCCAGGGTACCCTGTGGTGGTCCTTGCTCTGTGCCCTTCACCATTCCTGCCAGAGCCCTGCCCTGGCCTCTTGTGTGACCTCAGGTGTGAGGTCAGCATTCCTCTCACGGGACAAGAGTCCTGCACTTGGAAGTTCATGAGGGATTCCCCAAACGAGCTTTGCCCACCCTCCCCTGTGTTGTCACCTCACAGCCCTGCCCAGGGCAGGAGCTTGGGCTGGGGGCAGCGAGGGGGGGGGCCTCTACCTGCCAGGCACACAGCAGGGGTGAGGAGTCACTGCAATAAATAAGGTAGGGAGTGTCAGCGGGGAAGTGGCAGAGGAAAGCACACAGCAAGCACACTATGGGGAGGAGAAAGGGAGCCGCTACATCAGTGGCCCATGGCATAGCTATGTCTGTCCAGTTCCTGGGGGCTGTGCCCCTCCTTTGGGGAGGTGCCACAGCCTGGGGGGCTGGTGGGGCTCATTTTCCGGCAGGGATAATAGCCCTGGTCTGAGCTCTCCTGCCGCTGGCCCAGGGCCTGGTCAATCATCTCCAGGCGCAATGCAGGCAGCAGGCCCAGGTTCCGGGGGTCAGCCCTGGCCAGGGAGCTGTCAGCAGACACACACCGGAGGCCACCTTGCTCCTGCACAGTCTGGTAGAACGAACTGCCCTCTGGGTTCTTGGCTGCCTGTCCCAGCTCCTTGCTTTTTCCTGCATGGTGTCCCAACTCATCCTGGGGCAGATGGATAGTAGGGATATTCCTGGGGAGGCTGCGACGGCTCTGGGGTGAGGGACTGCGGCTTGTACCCCTGTCCCGGCTTGATGGCCGCAGGATGAGGCCCTGGAACTTGGCCAGGCTGGGGCTTCGGCTCCGGTGACGTTTCATCTTGCCCGGGCTGGGGCTACGGGATTTAGGGGCCAGGAGGACAAGTGTACTGTCATCCTCTTCTGAGCTGCTGCCTGAGCTGTCCGAAGAGCTGCTGCCCTCCTCTGACCTGGGTAGGGAAATCTGCACCCCTGCATCAGCACTGCTGGCTGACACTCACAGGGGACTGTTGGGTACCGTACCAGCTGCTTCCCCCATACTCATCCCCCCTCCCCCTCACCTCTTGGATGTGCTCACCTGGAAGGGCTCAGTCACACCAGCGATGCTATTGGAGGTGTTGCTGTAGTATCCAAGGATGTACTCGCCATTCCCCTTCGGCAGTGCTTCCTCAGAGAACATCACCTGCAGCCCAGAGACACCTGATGGGTACTGGGTTTGGCACAGGAGTGCCCCCTCTCCCACCTCCAGTCCCAGCCAAAACCACAGATCTCTTGCTACAAACACTGTGAGCTTGCTCCAGGCTCAGGAAAAAACAATAATGAGGTGCCTGCATCCCCCTACTCTGTCAGGGGCACAAAGGGGCCATTGTCCTGCCACTGTGGGGCAGAAGTGCCAGCAAGATGGCAGGGCTTGTCCCACCTCACCTGTGCACACAGCTGCTTCTCCAGGCAGCGCTCCCCATCATCACTCCTAGCCCAGACATAGGACACGTAGTCTTTAGGGTGCCGAAAGCCCACCTGTGTACAATACATAGGAGAACACAAGTGAGTGGGACAATGTGAGCCCCACTCTGCAACATCAGTCTCCTGGTGCTCAGGCCCCTCTGCTCACACAGGGTGATCCAAAGCTGCCTTGCTCCACAGGGCCCCAGGTGTGCCCTGGGGCCCTGTGGAACCCACAGAGCAGGAGGAAGAGGAAACTGCTGGACCTGAGCCTCCTGAAGCAGGACCACATGATGCCAGGGGAAGGGAGGGCACATCTTCATGCCCTCACCATGTTCGCTGGTGGGGGTAGCTCAGAAGGGACCCCGCAGTGCTGTGCAGTGCTCCCCACTCCCTCCAGCCCCAGCAGCCCTCAAGCCCCTACCCGGTAGAGTCCTATCCAGTCCCAGGAGCTCCGGTGGAAGCCAACAGCCATCTTGTACCTGACAACTGCTTGCTCAGGCCTGCTCCACTCATCAGCCACATAAATCTCAACCAGGGGCTTGTCCACCTTGGAAGCAAACTGTCAGAGACAGGTAGATGGTGAGCAGGGGCATGGCAAAAAACTGCCTCTGCTGCCCAGTGCCCCCATGCATATACCCACAGCAGACCCCAGTAAGGGGCAAGGCAGCTGAGCTTTCCAAACAGAACTAAGTCCCCCCCTGCCACAAGGCTGGGCATTTCAACCCTGCAGCTCCTGCCTGTGTTCCCAGCAGCCCTGGATAGTGCTCACCTGCACAGCAAAGATGGCAGCTACTGGCTTGTGGTCACTGATGGTGTATTCCATGTGACTGCAGTAGCACAGCTGGCTTACTGACAGCACACCCTGGCTGGGCCGGTGCCCACCTGTGCCCAACCCCTTGCTGGGAGGTTTTATCTTCCACAGGATGCGGTCGGTCCAAGCAGGTTTTCGTTTCTTGGCACTGCAGGGCACAGAGGAGCATCTCTTGCCTGGCAGGGGAAGTGGGCTCTGACCCAAACTCCCTCCCCCTGGCACTATGGCATGTATAGGCGGGGGATGCTGCTTATCTTGGCACTCAGCACAGCTGCAGGGACAGGCCTGTGCTGGCACCAGCACTGCCATCACACTCCAGTCCAGCCTGTGCCTGTCCCAGCATGGCTGCTTTGCCTACCCCACCCATCCACTCCAGCACTCACACTTGGCCTTGCAGCTGTGTGCTGAGTGCCAAGCACAGAGCTCCTGCATCTCTTAGCGCCACCTCATGCCCAGCTCTACTCCCCTACCTGCTGTCATACTTGTTGGTGCCCACATCAAACTTGAAAGTGGGTGGGAAGTTCAGGGGTCCCTCCTGGAAGCCTCTGAGAACAGGCCAGGTGCTTTTGGCAATGTTCAGCTGTGGGGAAGAGAGCACATCAAGGAGCACAGCAGCCACCACAGCCAGACCCCTACACAAACCCCCAACAAGATTGCTCCACCCTCACACACTGACATCCCAGTCCTGTTCCTGCCAGTTCCCACAGCTCTCAGGGTTTGTCTGTCTATGTCAGCAGCTAGTCTCTAGACTCAATGCCTCAGCTCTTCACACACTGATGAGGGAAGTGTGCCCAGCTCCATCCAGACTGACCCGGGACTCTGCTGTCCCTCCCCCAGAGACATGAGAGCCAGGGCCCTTTGTGTCCTGTGGGTTGCAAGAGGACATGCCCTGACCCACAAGCTGCATGGGCAGTTTTAGGGAGAGTCCATCATTGCTTGGGGTCCAGTGTAGGCTGGCAGCATGCCCATCCCTCACCTGATCCTTCTCCCAGAGCTGGCTTAGGACATTGCTGTCAATGGCATACTTCACAAAACAGATGTCCAGGCTCTCGATGCGGAAATTGAGGTCCCCAAACCAGAACACGAGGCTGTGGATGGTAGCAAGGGCAACAGGCTGAGGCTACCAGAGCCAGGGACAGCAGGGGTAAGATGTCCCTAGCCTGGGGGCAGCCTTAGCCCACAGCACAGATGCTTTTGGGAACACTGGCACAGGTCAGTGCTCAGCTGGCAGCCTGGCCAGCTGCCAGGATTCTGTAGGTAGGACCAAGCATCATTAGCCAAATAGGACAGACTTCCCGAAGCGGAAACTGAGGGTGGAAATTTCCACAGTGAGGCACCCATTGGATTCAGATCACACAGCCAGCCCCTTTGCCTGACTGGTGCCAAATCCCAACAGTGCATGCAGTAGCTGTACCAGCCCTAAATGTGATGAGACTAAGACTCCCCTAAACACCTGCCCCACCATGCTGAGTCCACGCTAGGCCAGCTCTGCAGGCAAAACCTGATCTCCAAGCTGTGCTAGGATGCAGGGGACAGACCCCCGGGCCCTACATGGAGGTGGTCAAGGACTGGGACTGGCACTAGAGCCCAGACTGGGGAGCAAAGTGGTGAGGTACGCACTCATGATCCAGGATGCCGTTGGCCACAGGCCCCTCAAACTGCTGCATGTGCAGTATGGTGGCAAAGTCCTCCTTGCGCTGCTCTGCCTTCTCCAGGTGTGCTGGCAGGTGGCAGTTCAGGAAGCAGACCATGTGGCCGAAGATGGAGAGACGAACACTCACCCCACCCTTGTTGCCCTGCACCAAGAGGATCCCATGACTCCTTGGGAAGCCAGACCCTTGCAATCTCCCCCCAGGGCCACACTCACCCAGTATCCCCCCAGCCCTGTCCTAGTGCAGTCTGTCTGGATGTCCTGCAGGAAGGGCAGGTGGTAGTACTTGGCAAACACCAGCAGGATCACACCTTGCATCCTCACTGTGCTGACCTGGAATGGGAGCAAGGGCTGGAGCAGGATGGTAGAGAGCCTGGGGACAGAGGGACAACTTGCCCTGCTCTGGGCCATGGGGCAGCACCTCCACCTTTTGTGTGTCCCCCCCTATCCCACAGGTGACAAACAGCACATCTGGTTCAGAGATCTGTGCATACCCTTCTGAACACTGACAGCCAAACTTGAGCCTCAGTGATGTTGGGTTTACATACGCTCTGAGGCAAATTCCTTGGGGAGCTGAACCTCTCTGGAGGAGCTGAGCCTGCCCTGAGTCTTGCAGGCTGTTGCCAGCAGCTCCGGCCAGTTCCCACATTCACCTTCTCACCCTGGTTCAATGCAGGGGGCAACATAAACCCCAAAGCACCAGAGGCTAAGCATAAGCCCAGGAAAGGCAGCTGGGTGGCACAAGCCAAACAACTTGCTGGGTGAGATGCAGCAGCAGTCCCTGCTTGGATGGCTGCAAATCCAGGCAGCTCTCCCACCACACCGCCCTCCAACCTGCAGTCCAGGTCTATCACTGTGTCCCACCTGCGAGGCAGGCAGAAAGAACATCAGCTGCCAACTCCTTCAGGACTCCTTACCAGGATGAAGTGGAAGGGGCTCAGCACATCCATGAAGAGTTCACTCCACTGATCTGTGAAGAGGGCATCCTTCAAACGCTTGTTTATCTTGGAGTTTACCTCCTGCAGCCTGAGAGGAAATGTATGGGTCCTTCAGCCACACAGTAGGAAAGCATATGTATCCCAGTTAGTGAAAACCTGGGAGAGGTGCCAAAGCACAATGCTGGACAGCAGGACAGGGTGGGAAGGGCAGTTCAAGGGAAGACACTGATTTTAGAGCACAAACCAGCCATATCTTCGCTCCAGTGATTCTGGGCCATGTGCTGGCAGGAGGCACAAGTGGCTCTGAATCCACGGATCCTTGGCCCTTTCTAAAGCAGAAGCAGTTAAGCTGCACAGGGTTGAGCAGAAGCCTAAAGCCCATCTCGGTGCGGAAGAGGGGCTTAAGTGGCCTTTCAGTCTCTACAGAGAAGTCATGTCCCAACAGCATGAGGTGTCCAGACATATTTGAGCTGCACAGCTTGAAGCAGCAGCAATCAGAAAGTTAACAGTGCTCCTCCCAGCTCAGCAATTAATGAAGAGAGGGAAAAATGTCCACAGAGAACAGTGCAATCAGGAAATGTCTTGCCCAAAAATATCGAGTGCTTAGAGCACAAAGACACAGATCAGAGGAAGGACACATCCAGGCAGAGATGCCAAGAAGTGAGGAGTAGCAGGACACTGTGTCCTGGCCAGGACATGGTCCCAGCAGGTCCCTACGTCAGCTACACCCCTCACCCAGCTCATCCATCCAGCTCAGGTTGACCTCTGCCACCCACACAGACCCGTTCCACTGGCCTGCAAGACTAAGGGGACTGAGAGGCTGGCTCCAACACAGCATCACAGCTCCAGCAGTGTCAATCCCTTGCACCACTATGCCCTCTGCAGCTGAGAGCTTGGGGGCAAGTAAGTCCTGGAGGCAGATCCAGTTCTTCCACCTCATACCAATAGGCAGAGGCTGCTTCCTGCTCCCTGTGCAAAGACAGCGTATCCCTGGCCTTAGCAAGAATTCATGCACCACTGCAGTCCTCAAGAGACAGCTGCCCTCGCCTCACCAGCCTCAACCACAGTACAGTGGCACTGCCCTGACAGCTGGTCTGTGTACCAGGGGCATGGAGCCAATCCAGCCTCAGGAGAACAGCAGATCTATGCCCTTAAGGCCTGCATACCACATGCAAAAGCAGAGAGGAGGAGAACGCTCCCAGAAGACTAGGCCAGGTGAGTCAAATACCTTGACAAACCTGACAAGGACTGCCACAGCTCACAGCAAGATCAGGGCTAACTTGGTCCAGCATAGCCAGCATCAGGTTCGATGAGGATTCAAGTCTAATCAGTTTTCAAGGGTTTTAGTTCCTCTCAGCACTCCCATTTTACCAGGAGCTGATTCTCCATCACCTTTTCTGACACTATCATTTGTGATGCACACCCTTCCCTGCTCCCCATGCCCCACAGGAGGCTGGTGCTGCAGCTCTTCCGTTCCTTGTCGCCCAGGGCTTTGGGGATTCCCCAAAAAGAGGACTTGTCAGAGGGGGAAGAGGAAGGAAAAGGGGGAGTCGCACCTCATCCTCTTACCCAATGGCGATCATGTCCACATCATTTGTCTCCCCCGTGTTGAGGTGCAGCAGGGACGTCACATCATTTGGGGGCATGGCTGTACCTACGTTCCAGGTGATCACTGTGATGCTTAGGAGGACAAAGGAAGAACAGGCTAACACGAGGGCTCAGAGGGGTTCCTTGTAACCCTGTAAGCCCCCAGCTCCACCAAGGAAGCTTTTTGCTGACAACACAAGTAGTCAAGGCTGAAGCTTAGTCATGGCATATACACCAGGTCCTTAACTCCTCTATGAGGGAGACAGGTTCTTGCCTCTAAGATTCCCCAGGATCTGCACCTGAAATTTAGAAACTGGCATAAAAAGCCCTCATCTTCATCACCACCAGCTGACGCAGGCTATGAGACAGGGTGTCTCCGGAAAACCACTTCCCCCCCTTCCTCAGGAAGGCTTGGGCTCCTGGGGAAAAGGACCCGGATCTCAGTTCCCAGCCCCTGCCAGCCACAAAGACCAGGGCAGTGCATGTGACAGCAGTGCTGCAGCCCCGCAGCGGTGTCCTTCACCAACGCAAAGCCACATCCATCACAACACATTAATGCCATTGCGCAACGGGCACCAGCAAAGAACCCACGGGCTCTTTCGGTAGTGACAAGGAGGAGCCTCCATCACATGGCACACGCTTTAATAGGGAAGGAGAGCAGCGCCACGCTAGCCCCAGTCCTAGGGGACAGCCAGGACAGGTGGCACTCACTCCATAGTCGGTGTCTCTATCACGATATCCCGCACGAACAGTGGGCATCAGGCATCCTCCCCGCCGGGAGCTTGCCTGCAGCCTTGCACCCCAATCCTGCTGAATCTGCCACAGCAGAAAGAAGGGGCACAGCGGGTGCTGCTCCCGCGGTGCTGCGAGCTCCGTCCCCGTGGCCCCACTCACCGGAACGCGCCGTCCTCCGGGGCCCGTCCTGGACAGTCCGGCAGCGGATCGCAGACGTCGCCGGGGCCGAGCTGGCCGAGGGGCCGGGCGACGA